GGCGAAGACTTTATCCTTTATCCTTAGTGGCGAGCTTTAGCGCACTCCCACCTCTGCTCAACGTATTACCTATTGTCACTTCAATACAACTACTGATGGAGCGATTTTCCGGGGGGCATTTCCTAGTTATTACGTGAAACAATGGAATACTGGAATCACTTCCGTGAAAGACTGTAAAAAAGGAAAGAAAAAGAGAGGCTCTTGGAGCCATCAAAACTTCTCACTTTCGACTTTCTTGAACTACCATTCAGAGGGGTAGTTGCACAATTTACCTGTTCTTACTAAAGTATGGCAACTCCTAGTGCCACTGATGTTAGAGAATTAATCACATTTTATGCTTGCCCACTAGCTTGAGACACTCCACAGTTCCGGGTTGTTGTTGGTGTTCACCAGGGATCGGCTCTTTCGCCACTGTTGTTCATTCTCTGTATGGACTACGCTACGAGGAACATCAGGAAAGAGCCGCCTTTGACGCTGGGATATGCTGACGATGTACTGCTGATGGGCAGATCCAAAGGGAAATTAGAACGGCGCGTCAACCGCTGGAAGAGAGAGCTGGCCAACCATGGACTCAGGCTTAATATAAGCAAGACGGAATATATGTGCACCACCCAACAACATCGTCAATCGTAGTCTGTGGAACACCCTTCTCCGAATACACGAACTTTCGGCGTATCTCGGAACTAGCTAAGGCCGCGAGATTGGAAGATGCAAGGCGATACAAACTGGCAAGAATCAACGTTGGGCATGGAGAAAATGGAGATCTGTTACTGGCATTCACTTTGATAGGAGAATACCATTACGCCTGAAGTCCAAGATCTACACTTCAGTCATGAAGCTAGTCGCCAATTTAGGGAGCGAGGCTAAACATTATGACGGCGAGAAAACAGAGCCTACGGTGTTATGGAGATGAGAATGTTACGATGGAGTCTGGGACACAAGCGACTCGACCGAATCCGCAATGAAACAGTGCGAGACAGGATGAAGGTCCAGCCGATTGCCAACTCTGCATCTCGTCTCCGCTGGTATGGTCACGTTCAACGAAGACCTCCTGATGCTGTATCGAAGTCCGCTGATAAGATCGTCTTTGCCGGTAAACGTCCAAAAGGCCGACCTAGAATGCGGTGGAAAGACAACCTGTAATATGGACATGACTGCTGCTGGCCTGTCAGGCCGATTCTATTTAACCGCTAGAAAGGACCGCTGGAAAGCTCTGGTCAAAGAAGCGTACCCGACAACATTTGGACAAGAACGCTAGGAAGAAGAAGAAAGTTTGCCCACTAGGTTCATTGGCAAATTGTCCTATTCGTTTTCTGCAAAGGAGAAGAGCAGTTTCGTTCTTGTTGGTGGGGGGCAGTTGAAGGATTTTTCGCCCCATATCGAGTTTCAGTGAGTGAAGTAAAGTCTCAGGCCCACTCCTCCTAACAAGCCTCTCGTCTCAGCGCTGCAAGTGAATTATAGATAATTTCTGTGCTGAAGAATAGCAGTCAACGTGAGGGCTTCATGAAAGTTGAAGTGATCCACTTCTACCCTACGACAAATTCCATTTGATATTCTTTTACTGAGGGGAGCGGACGATTGTTTGATCACATAATTCGAATAGAAAAAAATGTACATTATATTTTGTCATGAATGCTGCCTTTCAGTGGAAGGTAGTGCTGTTATGGCGTTGTCGCGATTTATAGTCATGATGATCCCGGCAAACAAGAGGGCGTGTGAGCCGTTGGACTACAGCAAAGCCCTTCTCGCCATTTGCTGTTTACTAGAATGGCCATTGATGGAAAAGCCGCCTTGACGGCGCTAATCCACGCCTCGTCACACGCCTTGTGGTTTGCAGGAATCACGAGTGTATATATTGGCAGTCTTGTTGAATTGGGATTTCCCCCGTTCTGTAATCTCAGTCCCTTACTCTCAATACTGTCCACTGTGTCGCAGTTCTTCCGGCATTTTGACATTTTTTTTTCTAGCATTTTTCGCTTGGAAAGTGATTAATAATGAAAATATTTGCAGCTACGAATCGAAGACTTCTGCGAGCACACATGCAATCGGGATGAAACGCGATTAAGAAGGCGCGCTAAACCTCAAATCGAGGACTTTGACAAGCCGATTGAAAGACGTCGTCCACCGGTAGTACCCAGTGAAGCAGGTTAGTTTTAAGAAACGGACATTTGGATCATCAGGCACTGCGCGCCAAACTGGAAATACGGCACTCTGCTATCACGCTACGCTTGTATTGTAAGCACTAAGGTTTTGTTTCTCGATGGAGGTTATCACAAGAAATGCTGAGTTGTGGGCAAAAGTCGTGCGCCCAGGCGGGAGTTCGTGCCCAAGGTCCATGAGACAACTCACACTAGCTATGTGTGAGTTGTCTCGATGGAGTGTATTGAGGGCACTTCCGGACTGCACATCATAGATGGCAGAGTTCAAAAACAGGTGCCTTGTGCTAGTTGCCTTAGTAGTGAAAAAAGAAGTATAAAAAACCGCCCTCAATATGACCCTCCTTGCAATTGACCATGATCATCGGACGATAGTAGGATGGTCAAGATCAGTGATATGCACCGCAAAGCGCGGATAGAGACCAGAAAATGACGGGCGAGAGAGCACAACGGCCTTAGTGGAACCACACGGGCAAGGTAGGCCGACATGGGCCTCCTCGGGCCTAAAATCGAAGTTTCCTGGTGCTTTGCGTAACGACTTTCCAGATTTGAATGCCAGCGCAAACGCTCTACAACAATCGCCCAACTCGGATCATCTGACCAGTTTTAAGAGGTTCCAGCGGAAGGTGCCTTTAACGGAGGGTTGGGTGGATTCGTTCCCACACACATATGTTTTGACGCAGCGCCAGTCTACTTTATTAATGGCCACCATAGTACGACGGCTATGGAAAGTTGGAAGTGTGCACCGCGGTCAAAAAGCACACTACGTGGTAACGCTCCTCCGACGAGCTCCTTCGAGGCAATGGGCACGAGCAAATCGACAGAGCGTACAGGGTCGATAACGCCTTAGCACTAAGAACATGTGGTTAGCAGCGCTTTGTGCGCCTTCTCCACGAGCTGAAGGCCGCCGAAAAAGCGCCTAAGCCAAGGTGCACGCATACCAATCAGGACGCCCATACGCAAACTGCTCGCCAAATGACGCTCACCGACATCGACGCCGCTCTGGCTTCATTGTGAGATTTTAATTGATATGAAGCGCTGCTACGATGTTATAGTGTAGTTCGCCCTGGCGGACGAATGACGTGTCCGGCGAGATGAGTTTGTGGCGCGGTGCAAATCCGCAAATCCATCTCCCCCAACTGTTGAAGCAAGCAAGTGGCAAAACTGTATCATGTCGTTCGTATCGCCCGGTTTCTACTTGTTGCCACAGAACCGACGCTTCAACAACTGGCAGAGAACGGATTTGGCGCCGTGGTACACTCTACTCTGCAGTCGTGTCTATCAACGCGGTTGTTGGAGCACACCAAAGAAAACTGCGTCAAAAATTTCCGCTCACAATGGCAAAAATGGCAGACGAGTGTCATTTGCGCAGATTTCTGGCTATTTAACTTCACTTTTCCTTCACGTCCCTATTGTATAGCACGCTCTAGCACGGAAATGACTGGTGACTCCTTGGAGCGTCGCTCTACTGAAATGAACAAGTAATCGAAATGGAATGGTTCGCGATACGGGAGCACACGCCAGCGATGTTGAATATATGGAAGAGAAAATGCCAAAGTGACTCGTCGGGACGTCGGAATCGCCTCCAGTAGGACCCTGGCCTCAACATATATAGGAGGCGATAAGAACCGCGTGTTAAAACGAATCCAGCCAGCAGATTTCTCATAATGAACTCTATGACCTCACAAGCAACAGCGGGGCTTCCACTTGATGCTACTATTTAGTTTGATGGCATCGTTTACCGCGGGAGGTGGGCTTCGGAGGCAGAGTTTATAGGCGGAGTCAGTGGAAAGGAGAGGGGGGTGTCACTGAAACAGCTTAGCTTTTTAGCGCCTTTCACCTGGAACTTTTTGCCGAAACATGGCCTTGGAACTTTTTGCCGAAACATGGCCCAAGATTGTTCGGTGCGTGCTACACTACCCTTCCCACACAGTCTTTTGCCTCTTCATAGGATCTGGCCGACCTTTTTTCCGAAAATTGTCGTGCGCGGTGCGTGACGATCCTGTAACCACATGACCATTAGTTCCAAAAGTGGTCGCCGTTCTTCGTTTCAAGGCAGTTGAATTGAGTTTTATCGTATTTCAGTAGTCTCGTATACTCTCAACGACTCCATGACAAGCTTCCTCAACGGGCTCAACGATCAATTTGAAGTCGACAACGATTTGGAAATCATTGACCAGGTAATAGGAAGACATCAAAAGTGCCTTCGCATTTGAAATGTGGTAGTGGCCTTTTCAGCTTGTTGAATTGTAGAGAGAATACATACAATTTTATCAGATTTGACCCTAATGAGCAAAAATGAGCAGCTCAAATGCCTGGAAATGGACAGAGTTCTCGGCTTACTTTTCCGCTATCCTGACTTGTAGGGGCATGCCGGGCAGGTTATCGAGCAAGCATGCCGACAGCCGCCCATTTCTTCTTTTTAGGCGTACTTCCAAGGGTTGAGCTTTCCCCCTTTTCTGAGCTGTTCGCTGCGATAGGTGCCGGTGACTAAGCTGGCGATACGGCGCTCGCCTACAAGGCTGAGCTATGTTGCCTGCCTTGTTCGTTACGGATGACGGGGCGTGTCAGCGTTCGCGTTTGGTGCACTGCCAACTCGTTCTCCACAAGCTGCTGATGAAGGTAAGCGGGCAACAACTGGTGGAAAACTAACGGTATGTTACAGTTGTGTGACTCGCCTAAAGGAAAAAAAAGATAAACCCGCGGTAGGGGCCCGCTCCAAACGCAGACGCTCCAACACGCGCCACCATCTGCAGCGGGTGAGACAGTAACTTAAATATGCTAGCTAATTGACTCGACATACTACAGAACTTTTCCACCAACATTAGTTTGTTTCCTAGTGGCGAATGCGCGCTGCGCGGATGACATTTTCGAAGGCGCGTCGCGCGAGTGTGGGTCTCCCGACGAGCCATCCAAGCATCCATCCAGCAGTCAAAAGCAAATGGGAAATTTGTCTAGGAGCGCAATGTTCTCATGTGTGAATGGAAGGCTGAGCAGGCTTGGAAAAGGTTCAGCACCGTTTTGAGAGCCGTTCATGCCCTGCATTGCTTTCCTCTGGTGTGAACGTTCCCCCGTCGTTTATCGTACATCTCTTACTGACTGTGTTTACCATATCAAGTCTGAACATTTGTTCGACATAAAATGGCGCTTTAAGGCGAAAGTCGGCTGCTGTACGCCCGTCGTTGGTTGGGGGAGAAATTGCTGGGTGCTTTTGTAGACTGAAAGTGGTGTAGTAACCACATGGGGACAATTTGGCGATGTATGTCATAAGTTTTACTAGGTTATACAAAAGTGCGTATAAATGGCGCTGTATGAGGCGATTAGCTCCTTTTTTGGAGTGAGAGACCTTTTCCGATTTTGGGGTGGACCCAACCGAACTGAAACAAGTGCCTATGATGAAGGATAGGGGTGAGCGTCACTGAAATAGAGCATTTATTTTGATTCCCAAAATTTGATGGAACTAGAGTTGCTCAATAGTAGTGGATATCTCATTTATGTAGAATTTGCAAGGGAAAGGCCCAAAATTCAAAAAGTCAGCGTCTGACGAACTGTAAGATTTTCGTGGTTCAGAACGATTACGGGCACGGAGGAACGGATGTTGCAATGGCATCAAGTGAGAATTTAGCAAGGTTCATTTCGAGAATGGATGAATACGAAAAACCAGTAAGTCCATGTTTCAGTAATTCTCCAGTTCTGTCTTTAGTAGTAGAGGTCAGATTTATGAGCCATATGAAGTTCTGGACCAGATTTTCGCAGGTTTCTCATGAATCAGGTTGAAGAGGTAGTCCTGAAACACGTTGACACTTTCACAAACTAATTGAAAAGGGAATGTCGCTCTGCGACAATGCACACTATGACAGATTGTTCTGTGACCGTTTTCCATATGTCTATAAAATTACTCCACCATTGCTCGAAGAGCAGCTACGGATCCCGCTAGACCACCCATTTCACCTATGGTCTGTTACAAACTTATATAAGGAGATCCAAGAACAGCAATCAAAGTTATATGGATATATGCGCAGTATTTATGGGGAACTAACCCACTTTTCCACTGTCCCTCAGAACTGCGGGACTTCTAAGTAATCGTCAGCGGTGCAAAATGATGATTTCCGCTCCGCTGTCAAAAACAATCAGCATTAGTTTTCTATTTTCCGCTATAATGCATCCAAATAATCGTCGTCCGGGTTCCCTGCAAAGTCATGGATTCGGACAAGGCTCATGGTGGCCTACCGCTGGATAACTTCGTCGGAGTCCGCGCAGAAAGGAAGTACGACGGTAACGGAGCATGAATTTCGGTTGCCATAACTCAACAATTGCACGCAGAAATCAGTGAATGCCTGCAGGAGAATGGACACCAAGGAAACCTTAGGTAGTTCAGAGTCGAGGGGAGATTGTGGCTCCATCAAAGATTCCAGAATCGCCATTATAACGGTGCAAAGTGCCTCAGCCTTCCACAGTAGTTCACTGAAGCAATCCTCCAGAACACGCCAAACTGTATGATGTCTATTTTTTCCACTTTGTGGCAAAGATGACTTGTCAAAAAGTCTCGGAGCCAACGTGGGAGAACAACCCCATATAATGTACTCTTCCAACACAGTGCCTTCTGATCACCATCTGCTCTGATGGTAAGCCGTCAAGTAATTGTCTATGAAAACATCAACCAATAGTCATGACAATCTCGCAACAAAGGGAACCGATATTTGCCATCCCTCAATTCCGAGTTCTGGGAGAATTCGAATCGACTCGACCAATCGTCCGTAAAACGGACGAGGGTCACCGGTAGCAGCTGGATTTATATCGCTTGCCCAAGCCGTGTTCCAAATCAAACGTTTTCAAAAATGTACCTTTGGTGATTCAGGACTTTTCTGTTCAACATAACAGCTCTAGAGCTCTAGGAATCTTGTACACAAAATCACTTTTCTGTGTGATTCTGAGTTATCGAAAATTCTTACAGTCGACTAGTACCTCGAAACCGGCGACCGCAACAAGTTCCTCGAAAGTATGGTCGACCGTCGACGTTGAAATTGTCGATTTTTCAAAACGACCTGATCCACCTTTTACGTGCGTTTTCCACGCTAAAGATGAGGTATGTTCGAAAAGAGAAGTTTTGGAGGTCTCACTCTCTTTACTGGAGGCTTGTTTTGAGAATTACTGCAATAATCGCAGGCGTCGCTTCGCACAGTAGTAACCAAGGGAAACAATCTACGAATTCATTGCAGGCCTCACAGTATTCGTATGCATGTCCGATGATAAACAATCAGCCCGAAGTGGTAGCTGATGCTTTGCTTAATCTGCTATTCCAATTCGGTCCACCAAATACAGTGAAACTGGACTCTGCCTATCGTGGTAAGTATAATTTGTGGAACACATTAGAACCAAAGTATCCCTTGACATCCCGAATGGGAAAGCCAGAGTGCGCACTTCATGTTAACGTAGTGGAAGCAGCGCTTCCAATGGGAGTTTTTGTTTTGGCACAGTTGTATTAAGCTTTCAGGAAGTTTTTCTTAGCCCGTTTTTGTGCAGTCTCTAATCTTTTTGTACATTCACTGCTGATTAAAAACTCATTCTGCCTTGCTTCTCAGTAGCACATCCTGTAGAGAATTTCTTGCGCTATCTGATGGTATAATTGCCGTTTCACCATTGCTTGATAAACCCTCTTTTTTCAAGATTTTTTCAAGCATGTGAAAAGAGCACTTCGGACGATTTTTTCTTCGGCTATAAATTGGGGCAATCCGCAATCGAAACAGCTCAACAAATTAACCAGGTGTGGAGGCCCAATAGTGCTAGAGAAAGCACTGTGCCGCAATGGCTCAACAAATGTCGTTCTGGAAATTTCAGCCTTGAAGGTGAGCCTCATAGCGGTCGACCTAAAGCAATATCTGACGAGGATTTTAGGGGGATTTTGAAGGTTGACCCATCCCAAACAGTTCGAGAGATAGCAGAAGAGCTAGGCCTTGGCAAATCCACTGTTGCAGATGGTCTGGAACGCATTGGGAAGGTGAAAAAACTCGACAATTGGGTGCCCCACAATCGGAGTGACCGGCAGGAATCGGCACGTCTCGAGGTTCCTTCTTCACTGCTTTTGCGCAAAAGAATTGACCCGTTTTTGAACGGATTTGTCACCTGTGATGAAAAATGGATCATGTATGATAACAGGAGACGTTCCGGACAGTGGTTGGATTTGGAGGAACCACCGAGGTAATTTCAAAAAGGGCTCCGCCCCCGTAAACCCTCTCGCGAAAAAAAATTCTGGTCAGGTTTGGTGGTCATCGGCTGTTGTAATCCACTATAACTTTTCATCACCAGGCCAAACCATCACAGCAGAACCCTACTGTGAACAAATCGACGATCGCAAATGCTACCCGCAAAAATGATTGTCAGCTGGCAGCCAACACTTATCAAAGAAGAATGGGTCTCGATTCTCTTTGTCATGAAACGCCCGCCACAGAGTGACGTTTCACAAATCATATCCAATCTAAAATTGAACGAATTGGGAGTTGAAGTTCTACCTCACCCACCATATTCTCTAGACCTTTCACCAACCGACTGTCACCTTTTCAGACATTTTCAGAACTTTCCTGCTGAGAAATACTTCATCAAACAGGACCAGGCAAAAAAGACCTTCGCAGATTTCGTGGATTCTCGACCACCCAGTTTTTTCTTTGATGGGATTTCTCGACTGCTGCCACATTGGCAAAAGTGTGCTGATTCGAATGGTGCTTATTTGGATTAAATCCGATGAGTGTTAAGAAAGTTATGATCGTTTAAAGTTAAACACCCAAAACGCTAAGAACTTTCCGGACAACCTAATTTTGTCGAGCGCACAAGACGAAGAATGACAGTTGCCACACGGGACGGAAAAGGAACTATTTTTTCACCATGTTTCCTCATCCATTCGTCTATTGCAGGATTGCCTTTAGATTTTTTCCGTAGCAACTTGCGCATAGTGGTTGTTTATTTGCGAAAGGCTTCACTCGAATGATTAAAGGCGCCGACTTATTGAGCGCTCAATGAGCCCTGCTCTATTCTGTTTTTTTTTTCAGGTTCTGTCGTTGAAAGGATAATCGCGGAGAAGTTCCCATCCACGACTTTGGTCTTCTATGCAGAAAACAAAAACAAGCAAGGTGTCATTGCGCCAAGGTTCGTCAGATCTGCTTATTAAGCCTAAGGGTCTAAGTGTGGGTCGAAAAATACATACATACATGTCGTGGGACGCACACGAATTGCTTGCACCTCCTAGCTTGTTAGCGCAACGTATTGTAGGACCACCTCATCAATTAGTGAATTTCGGTGCGAATATTGTATGCAGCCGTTATCCCTGAAGTCAGTAAAATCGAGGGTTTTGGTGGGGCGTGGCGGGGCGCCAACTCCTTTTCCATGAATCGTTCCATGGGTGGCGGTAAAAGGCTAGTGCAGGCGGTAAAATCAACGCATCACTGACACGCCCAGACTGACTTCATTGATAATGGCTGTGCGTGACGCGAGTTGCAACGCCGTTTTCATTGCGTCACCACAAAGTGGATTGCCTAGAGAATGAGAATTTACTTAAGATCTTCTTTATCGGACACCCAAAGACCATAGATTCTTGACGCACGTTGGTGTGTTTTACTGACGGACAGAATATTTTGAGCACTACTGAATAAGCCCTTTTTAGGCGAGAAGAAACGATGATTCGTGAACGGATATTTGCTTGGCTTATGGAAAATGGAAGGTTAAATTGGTTCAAGCATTTGAGTGAGATAAAATACATGCACAATTCAGAATGGATAGAAGAATTAGGTGTGTTTCTTAATGTCTTCACTTTAATTTTAGTCTAATTCGAATTCAAGTAGTCAGGTTTATTCAGTGGGACGATAGACAGATGAAAGCATCAGCATCATAAGGGGCGAAGCTCCTAGTGAAATGTCATTTGCTGGTGGAAGTTGTGCCCGCCTCTTAACAAACGTTCCCACCGTATTTTTTCAATAAGTATAAGTTGCTTTATCTTCATAAAAAAGTTTGTGCAAGTCAAGGGTTTAGTTCGCAAGAGGCCCAGCATTTCTCCGCTACTTGAGGTAAGGCGCAGAGAGGGGTGGCGCGCTGCAAAGCTGAATGGAGTGGGTCTCGCTATGTCACCGGCTTGCAATGCCTCCTTCGTCACGGCTCGGATGTGCTTAGCAACACCAGTAAGTGAAGCCCAGAGCTATTCTTTTCAGGTTTCATAATCGCACCTGAAAGACGAGTTGATCGGTCTGGCCATTTAAAGTTGATTGCTAAAGACAGACTCTGTGATTGCATGCTTTGGATATTAGCGTTCAATTACAAACCTAATATCACGAGGTGACTCTAAAGTCAAAAAAATCGTGGAGCATACTCCAAGTAAGAACCTGACAGCCCTTCGGACGAGGTCCGCGGACCTGCTCTTTTATGCCTAGCAAAGCGATATCCTGCCGCCTCCGGCTCACTAAACATTCCCATGTCATCTAATTTTAGTACCATCTGACAGTGGAAAAAAAAACGGAAAACAGTGTAAAAATTGAACTCGCACAGAACGTAATCTTTGGGCTTTGATGGGCGGGATATTTAGAGAGGCGCCAGAACTGTCACACATGAAGGCCGCAGCGCCTTCCTCACTTACTGTGAAGCCGCAGGAGGTGGCACAGTTCAGAAGCTGCGGACCATACTATTTGAAAAAGGAAGGATGGCTGTGAATCGTTCCAGGGCGGGTACTGTTTTTGAGAGGCAAATGAGATTTGAGCTTGCTATTGTTTAACGAAAAGAACCAATTTTTTATAGACCACCAGCCATTTGGCTTTTGCGAATTCTGTAGCCACGAGTGAAACCAGCATTAGCACGCTTTTTGTTAAGGTGGCACGCCTTTGGATTTATTCTTTGGCCGCACACGTGCCGCGGAAAACTCCCGAAAACGAAAAGCCGATGGAGCTCTTCAGGACGACGACACACTCAGTGACAGCTTCACAAATAACTCGAACGGTATGTTCAGTGCCCGAGGGTGAAGACTAGTACTACATGAGCTGGTGCTTTTCAAACCTTCAATTAATGCGATTATTGAGAAAAACGAACATAAGTAGTGATCCGTAGCAAACCAGTAATATTAGATCTTAGCAGACCAACTAAAACATCCAAACCAGTAATATTAGATCTTAGCAGACCAACTAAAACATGAAAAGGTTCTGGTTGATCTACTATGAACCAATATTATTGCTTCTACTTCTCTTTTTCATAACTTGTGATTTGTCTTTAGATGTGAGAGAAGAGCCTACGTCATCGTTCTCACCAGAATTCAAAATTCAGCGACAGAATGGATATCCGGCGATGAGATCACCAAAGTGTGAAAAATGAAGTCTCTGTTGTTGTTCCTGTTGTTGTTTCCCTTTTCCTAATGTACCTCAAAACATGAAGATTATGATCATACCATGTCATATCACATGTATCTGGAAATCTGATTTCTTGGCACACCCTTGGATCTGTTCTTCAGGACGAACATACACTCAGTGACAGGATCGTATAGGATAAATATGTTCACGATATGTGAAATTCAAGGTGTCTGAGTCCTTACTTCATGCTGTTTCCACTTTAAGTGTGCTCAAAGCATCAATAAATCTCACGAAACCCTTTCTCACATTTAAGGCGTTTTCTTAAATAGTAAAGAAAGTGAAAGAGTAGAGAAAGGGGAATAAAGAAAAATAAAAAGTGATTCGTTTCGCCTCCGACTCAGACGAATCACTGTCCTACGTCATCATCACTGTCTTAAAAGCAAGTGGCACGATAAATCCACAAGCGTGGAGAATAAATACGCTTCGCCGCAGAACAGAGTTTGACGCCACTAAGCAGGCGCAGCGTAGCGCCTTTTTCAACGAGGGCCATCGTTATGGTGCATAACCAAAGCGTAATATGCCGACCCGGACATCCACCGCAACAGCCCGCCCAGAGTTGTTCGTGTCCGTATGTACAATCGACACTGGTACTTCTATCGTTTCATTTATGTATCATAGTACGACTTATATGATGCACTGCTACATGGATACATTAACCCGTGCTTGTAGCCGTATCTATCAAATCGGTTGCTGGCGCGACAGCAACGAAACTCGTCCACAAGTGCTCTTCGTCTATTCACCCGCTTCTGCCCCAATTATCCGGCCAGTTTTTTTCTCCGGGGGCTAAAAAGCTGTACCCTGGAGCAGTCTGACCGCGCGAATGTAACATCCACTTGCCCACCTCCTAGCGCCGGCGCCAAAATATCAATGCACTGAATTCGCAGAAAACTAGTTCCCAGGGGTCGTGCGACCCACTGAACCCAAATATCACACCAGTTAGGTCAGAAAACGCTTGAAGCCTACGTCACAAGCGGCTCATCACTTGTTCCGCCGCGTCCGTGTGAACTCCAGTCCAGACCGAGCGTGTGCCTAGATTAGTTTCGATAATGGTGAGGCAGGCAGCACCGCTTTCTGGTTGGATGCGGATAGTGAGACTTCGCTTTCAGTAGGTCAACGACCCTTTAGTAAGGATCAGCCTTAGCAGAGGAAGGGATTGCTACTTCGAGGGAAGGGCACAGAGGAGCGGAAGCAAGCTGCGCTCAGGGTACAGCATGGGGATGTGCGAAATGGCGGTGTGAGTACGACCCCCCCCCCCCTCGAAGAGGGTCCAGTTACGACCCCCCCCTCCTGCTCTAACTGACAACCAGATGCATGTTCACACCTGAAATGGAATCTGGATTTTCGAAAGGCGGACTCTGCTCTAAAATCCAGGCAATAATAGGCTGTTTCAGCCTCATGCAATATGAGGCTGAACAACAGCCTCGCATTACCTACAATTTTGTCTTAGGATTCAAAATAAAACTCGTCGTTCGACAACCATGTATGACATGCAACTTGTAACAAGGAACAATCGAAACAGCGACTAATGGTGATCACTGATAAGCTAAATTGGTGAAAAAATAGCCCCAAGGTCAGCGTGTCAGGCCCCAGATGTGCATTCAATGAATGGTGACGGGGAAATCATGAAAACATGCACGACACAACAAAGCGAAACATGAAAAATACAAAAAATGCGGAGCCAAATGAAAAAAGGATAACCAGGCGGCAGTAATCGTTCTATACTTGGCTATTATCGATCGCAACGTTGCGACCGCTTTCATTGGAAAAACGTCATTGGAGCGCGGTTGTTGGGCCTGCCAACGTCCTGGGGTCTTTTCGGGGGTTATATCTCTTTGAGGGGCGCGGCTTTTGATGAATGGTTAGCAGCATGCAACGGGAATGTTCCTACTGTTGCGTTTTCTACCCAGTTGCAATCTGAATGTTTCCCCGTTCGTGAAATATTTCGGATGGGTTTCGGATCGGCTAGGGGTAAATGGCAAGCGGGTTTTTATGCTTCACACGAGGATTACTTATTTCGAACGCAATTTCATCAGGATTAAAATCGTCTTGAAACCGCCCTATCTTTTCTCTTTCCAATAAGCTTTACAGTTTTCCTGAAGACCCGCTAGTTCAGGAGATATTTTAGATGGGTCACAGACGCGCTACCCTCTGACCCACCCGAAATCGACTCTTCTGTGCCATTGTGAGGATACACCTTCGGAAACTTCAGTGTGCCTTCAAAACACATATTTCAATAGTGAAAGAGGAGCTCGGCTATCACTGATCGATTTGGTCCGAGTATGCGCCGCTCCGACGCAGAGCTGGTGGAAAGGTGTAAATGCTGATTTCAGGTGCTTTTATCCATGGTTCTTTATTGGTTTTATGATAGAGAGCGGATTTATAAGGGTTTCTCATCTGTAAGAACAACCTTTCTCGCTGTTGGAGTAGATTTTTTATGTGGGCCGGGTAACCAGACGTACGACCAATGATTTCTTTCAGGGGAATGAATGAATCAATAAGGCAGTGGATGATATCGCAGAAACGTCTATATAACTCATCGATGCTATGATATCTGTCAAAGATTTCATATCGATAGATGATAATCGATTGCATCTTTGTTGGCAAGTTTATAATCTCGAATGAGGGTAGGACGTTTGTCGCTGGTGATTGCAGGCATGGTAAAAGCGACAGTGGTATGATCAGATGTAGAGAGCGGCGACATTGCATAAATGTAGGAAATGCTGTCTTGTACGGAAAAGATCAGGTCAAGGATTTTTCCCTGACGTGTTGGAAAGTGAACAATTTGCACCAAGGATAGCGAGTCAAATAGAGTCAGGAATTTCTTGGCTGCGGACGAATATTTCATTTGAGGTGACCAGTCAACATTTATTCCAATATTCACAAATTTTCTGGGAGGTGTAGGCTTGATCTTCTTCTTCTTCTCCCTAGCGTTAGTCCCGCGCCGTCGCAGGGTCCGCTGATTCTTGTTAGACGTCGCCACTTGTTCCGATCCACTGCATCTTCTGCTGTGGCTTTCACTTCAGTGAGGTCCCTCTTGATGACGTCCCTCCATCTTTTCTTTGGGGCTCCTCGTGGTCGCTTGCCCTCTACCTCGAGTTCCAATGCCTTCCTTATTGGGTGGTCTTCAGGCCTCCTCAGTACATGACCGTACCATCGCAGTCGCTGCTCTCGTGCCTTCAGCTGGATAGCCGTCTGTGTGACTGCTCTGACGTCCTCGTTTCTGACTCTGTCGAGTCGTGTCCAGCCGCAGGCCCATCTCAGCATCCTCATTTCAGCTGAGTGGAGCTGCCTTTCATGGTTCTTGCAGATAGGCCAGCACTCACTGCCGTAGAGCATTGTAGGCCTTACCAGCCCGGTACACCTTGCCCTTGAGTGTTCTCGAGCACCGCCGGTCGCACAGGATGCCAGTGGACTCCCTCCATTTCATCCAGGCTGCGTTGATTCGGGCCGTCACCGCCTGGTCCACGCTGCCATCAGCTGCTAGGTTGCTCCCCAGGTACTGGAAATCCTCGACCCTTTCGATGCTCTCGCCATGGCGATCTACGATGACTTCGGCGCACTCTTCGGAGCTTAGGAACTTGGTCTTCTTTACGTTCAGCCGGAGTCCATTCGCAGCGAGCACATCCTGCCACCGCTGCACTTTGTCCTGAAGTTCCTCCCTGCTGTCCGCTATCAGGGCGATGTCGTCAGCATAGAGGATGGTTTTCAGTGGTCCCTCCATGAGTTCTTTTGCCATGACATCTAGAGTCAGGAGGAAGAGGAACGGGCTGAGGGCTGACCCTTGGTGTACCCCAACCGTAATGTTTACCTCCTTTGTCAAGCCGTGAGGGGTGCGTACAGCTGCTTTAGCCCCATCGTACATGTCCTTCACTATGGAGATGAGGTGTTCCGGAACGTTACGTTCTCTGAGCGCTCTCCAGAGTACAGGCCTTGGCAGGCGGTCGAATGCCTTCTCAAGGTCCAGGAAGGCTAGGTAGCAGGGTCGCCGCTTCTCTCGGTACTTCTCCATCAGCTGTCTGGCGATGAAGATGGCATCAGTGGTGGACCTCTCGGGCATGAAGCCGAACTGTTCCTGCGAGATAGGGACAAGTTCCCTCAGCCTAGTGTTGACCAGGCGCTCGTACAGCTTCATGGTATGGGGAGTCAACTTGATGCCGCGGTAGTTGGAGCACTCCGTCGCGTCCCCTTTCTTTGAAGATGGGGACGATTGTGCTGCTCCTCCACGCATCGGCATCCTTCCTTCAGCTGTTACGTTGTTTAGGAAGTGCGTGAGCCAACTCACCCCATGCTCTCCAAGGGCCTTCCATGCCTCTATCGGTACCCCGTCTGGACCCACTGCTTTCCCAGCTTTCATTCTCCCTAGCTCCCGGCGAACTTCATCCTTCGTCCAGGGAGTGATGGGACCTGCCGTCGCCTCTATCTGTGGGCTATCCTTGCGAGGGAATTCTTCGTTCAGAAGTCCCTCGAAGTATTCTTCCCACCTCTTCCTGACTTCGGCTGGTTTCCTGAGAATGGCCCCGTTGCTGCTCTTCACAGTCTTTACGACCCTGATGTCCTGATGCCGAGCTTTAGCCAGGCGGAAGACGAACTTGTCCCCTTCTCGGCCTTCCAGCTTGTCGTACAGGGCGTCCATTTCCGTATTCTTGGCCTTAGCAACGGCCGCCTTAGCGAGTCGCTTGCAGCTCTTGTAGGCAGCGTAGTCTTCTGGGCTCCGTGTCTTTTGCCAGCGTTTGTATGCTTCCTTCTTCTGCTTGACGATCCTCTGGACTTCCTCGTTCCAGAACCAGGCTGCCTTGTCTCCTCTGATACCACCTCGCGTCTCTCCCAGGACCTCCCTTGCACACTGTAGGATGACCTCTGCTGCGTAGGTCCAGGTGTCCTGGACTGGCCCATGTGGGTCTGGGAGCCCAGCCTCCAGTATTCTTCGGCCGAGGCTATCCTTTTCTACCCTGCCCATTTTCCACC